TTTTAAGATCAGTTTTATCTCACTTCAAATATAGAAAATGAAAGGCCCACTTAATAACTCACCCAGTTCTTTCCTGAATACAATGTAGACCTCATTCTAAATTGCAGCCTCCTATTTCTGAGGAAGGTACAGCCAACAGTTTAAAACCTTATGGGAACTTGATTCAAAATTTGAAATAGAGGTGCCATGGTAATCATTATATCATAGCTATAATCATAACCCCACATCATTTTCACAGGGATACTTCAGGCAGTGTTTAAGGCTTTTGCCCAGGGTAGGTTATAGGGCCATGACATCCTACTTTTGGAATCTGATGAAGCGATTATATTTTAAAGCACAGTTTTACATCTTGCAACAGGTATTGACTTTATCAACAATCCTGGGTACCAAGGAGACACGGGCCATTGAAAAAGCAGATTAAGGTTTCTTACGTTTGCTTTGTGAGCCAGAAGCAGCATTGCTCCTTTGTTGAAGCTTTGGGCTTCTCCTTCCACTGTCCTTAAGAAAAATACATTGGGTGCGCCAAATCATCTCAGAATAATAATATTTGATCTATTAATCTGAACATAATAGCCTCTGTGCAAATTCCAGCCTGAGTGATTTTGAAACACACAAACTTCAATATAAATTGGCGAATGTTTGTGTTACATTAAATAGCAAGCAATTAATGCAAATTGTTTTATCTTTCCACAAGGTCTTATACAAGTAAACCAGAATTGTATTTATTTCTGGAGGATACTCATGACTACCCAAAGTGCACATTGACTTTAAGAAGCAACATGACCCATATTTATACTATACAGCTACCTTGGTATTTTGAGTTAAATCTGCTGTTGTATGAGCCACAGAACCAACCACAAAAAGTTAATGGCTGCCTCTCTATTATGTTAAATGAGCCTTACACAAGATAAACAGCTCTTACACTTACAGCTCTTACAGCACCGTAACTAAGACAAAATTCAAATGACCAATGGAAACTTACAGGACTGCATTGAAAACTTATCAAAATTAGATTGAAATGTTCATCTCCAGACCACTGGTTTCTGAACACTGTCTTTCCAACAGCAGTAGAGGATGAACCATTGGTGAGGCTTAATAAGAAGAGGTACTTGTCTTAACATATAGTTTATTGCATAATAACAGTAACTACAAGCTACATTGTTAAGCACAATAACTAAGACTATCAGGAGGCAAAGTTAATACAACTATCTCTATCAGGATCTCAAGCTGGGCTCTGCTTTCTTCACCCAAGGTCACATAATATCAGCACAATGCAATCTCTAACATTAACCTGTTCAGAATCAATTTCTTATGCAATAGATACACATTTGCTGAGGCCACATATTTAGGTATTGTCCATTTCTAATCATTTGCCCTTTTTCTCTGTTCTACATGTTTTATTTTGGATCCATAAATGCATAAGTCAATTGACTTTTCAGACTATTTAACATGTGATATCTTAACATCGGTCTCCTCACTTTGGTATGGACTGTCTTTTGACCTGAATGTATGACAAAGGTATATAAGGTACACTATCATCATTTGAAAATTTAGATTTTAAAGACAGAAGTAGATGGATTTTGGTTTTAGTTCTGTGAAGGTAACATTTTAACAAAGTGGGAAGAAAGTAATTTGGAACAGTGACCCCAACTTCATACTTTCCATGAAAGTATGTTATTCAGTTAAATATCTAGCAGAATACCCATGATGTTAATTGATGAAATGTTTAAACTGCTACGTTTACCACAAACAAAGAAAACAGACAAGAATCACTATCTTAGTTTGACTTCAGTTCAGATGACTCAGGAATTCCTTGAATTTAGGAAGCATCAGTGTCTTTTTAAAAGAATGAGTATGCGGAGGTCTGTATTTTCTGAATTTCCAAGCAGTCTTTGTTAATAGATTTTCCTGAGTTAAAATGGTAGGAAAATACTAAGATACTTTGACCAATTTAAACCATGTTAAACTGTTCTAACATGCAGAGGCTGACTAACTTTCCTCTAGGTGATAGGCATTTCACGTAAATTTACAGAGAAGAGCAACCCTTGGACTGGAGGAAAAACAAGAGAACATTGACTTGCAATATGTGAACAGCAATTGAGGAATACAGTTAAAAAGAGGCCAAGGAAATGAGAGTTGGGTAAGTACCCTTTATGTGCCCTATCTATTCCAGATGATGTGACGGGGTGGGGGGGGCATATCTATTAATAAACATTCAGTGCTTAAAACTGCTTTCTGGCCTCCACCTGAGAAAGGCTTTGCTGGGCAGAATTGGGAGAGGTTAATTTCTGCATTTGGTTGGACTCAGATCAGAGTGGATGGTGTTTTGGATGTGGATTGTGGAGGAAAGGCACATTTTTATCCAGGTTTAATTAATGTTTTGCTATGAATGCACGCCATGCTACACCACTGTTAATCACAAAGGTCACACCAAGGAATTGGTTTGTGTTGCTAGCACTTTGTTGACATCACTCAATTGCCACCTAGAACATGCAGACTTTCAATGCGAATAATCAAGCACTCATAATTTGCACTAAACATAACGGTAAGCCACGACATTTTAGAGGCTGAGTGCATGTGGTTCAATTTCTGTTGAGCTTTTTTTAGAACCCAAAGTCTTTTTTTTTATCATATAATCCATCTGTATTTTGATACCAACTTCCTTAAATACTGGTTGATTCTGCATTCTCATCTATTACAGGAAATATATTATTTCCGCTAGATGACAGTTCAGTGCAAAATTTAGTAACTATTTCAATTCGTAAATTACCCAACAATTTGTAAGGTAGGTTATAGATTCATATTTACTTTAATATTATTGTGGATGGTAATTGCAATTGAAAATCGGATTAAATTTTTGGACCATGTAGTGTATATTACAAATGTCACCCTGACATTATAGTGCTGTAATTTGCATCGATTTTAACGTTATTAGGGTGGAGGCTTAATCTGAAGAAATATGTGGGTTTAAGAGCGAGTGATGAGAGTTTCAAAGTGGCCAAGAGTGCTCACACTGCTCCAAAGCACCAACTTTTGGGTTCAACTTGGACATGCAGGGTTGGTTATGTGTAACCAGCACCTGAGAGATGGGCTAATTTAGAGGTGTCGATTGAAAAATTTCAGCACTATTTCCATATGCATTCTTACTTAATGATGTCTCCACCATGGTTTCTCTGTGCTTCCTGAAACTAATCACTGAAACCAATACGAGAAGAGGACAACAATTTATGGGGCTTATTGAAAGTCGGACAGATCTATTAATAAACATTCAGTGCCTCCACCTGAGAAAGGCTTTGCTGGGCACATTTGGGAGAGGTTAATTTCTGCATGTAGTTGGACTCAGATCAGAGTGGATGGTGTTTTGGATGTGGATTGTGGAGGAAAGGGACCATCATCAAGAGTAACAGCTTGCTGTGGAGAGACCTGCAGATGGGGAGCAAAGAGGGAGCAGCGTAGGGGGCTGGGGTCGAGCTTGCAAGATGCACATTAAAACAGGCACAGTTGTAAGTCCAGGTGGAGAGTCAGCTTCTTTGACACCTTGGAAGAATAGTACTTTCAAAGGCAGAGGTTACACTTAGTTCAGCTGTGATCTTATTGTATAGTGAGGCAGGCTGAAAGGCCTGAATTCTATTCCTAATTCATATGTTTGTACATTGCGTCAGGTGAGGGCAGAGATCAGCAAGTCTGCTGGACATGAAACTCATCGCAGACTCAACTTTTTTTGTTTGCTTCTAGATGCTTCCAGGGCTCTCTCAGAGACATAATCAGGATCCCATAGAATAAAAACAAGGCCCCGTTTTCTAATAGACAGATCGTCATTTCTGCAGTGAACTAAATATCAAGACCCTGGTGTAGCAGACTCTGGGGGAATTGTCCAGGAAGTTAAAGATACCGATGAGCAATTCTCCTGCACCTGGAATCCTCCGAAAGTATCCATTTAAATCAGAATTTGGAGGGTCCTGCTGCAGTTATGCTGAAAATCTTAAACAATGACAAACCTAGTCTAACTCGTATAACTATTCAATTAATCCCTTAATTTATCGCAGCACTCCTAACTATACTTCCTGATCCCTTAAACCCGGACCTTAACCTGATACCCACTCCCTCCCTGAGGACCCAATACCACTCCTGCCACTGGACCTGTCCCTGGAATCTGATAGCCCCCTCTCTGCCTGGAATTCAACACTAGCCTGCGGTCTCTGCCCAGTACACCAAATCCTTCTCTCCCCACCCTGGGACCAAAAATAACCTCAGACCTCAGTGTCCAGACAAATGGACCTGACACCATCCTGCCCCATTCCCCCCATCCCGGACAATTCCCTCTCTTCCCGGGACCCAACACCCACATGGCACCCCTGACACCTGATACCCACTCCCTCTCTGGGGTTCAACAGCACTCCACCACTGAATGTGAAACTCCTGCCCACCTTCCAGAATCTGACAGCATGCATTCCTCCCACCCCTAGTTATACAGGTTTACAGCATGGAAGTAGGCCCTTCAGCCCAACTTGTCCATGCTGCCTAGTTTACACAATTAATCTTGTCCCATTTGCTACCATTTGGTCCATATCTCTCCATACCCATCCCATCTATGGACTTATGATAAAACTATACTCACCACACAACTTCCTCTGGCAGCCCATTCTGGATACTCACTACCCTCTGTGTGAAAAAATTGTCACTCTGGACCCTTTTTTTATCTCTCCCCTCTCACCTTAAACCTTTGCCCTCTAGTTTTAGACTCTCCTACCACGGGGAAAAGTTATTGACTATCTACCTTATCTATGCCTGTCATGATTTTATTGACCTCTATAAGGTCACCCCTCAGTCTCCTATGCTCCAGGGAGAGAAGTCCCAGCCTATCCAACCTCACCTTTTAACTCAAATCTTGTGGTCCAGGTAGCATCCTGATAAATCTTGTCTGCATTCTTTCTAGTTTAATAATCTCCCTTCTATAGTAGAGTCACCAGAAATGCATGCAGTCATCCAAAAGTGGCCCTACCAACAGCTGCAACAAGATGTCCAACTCCTATATGGAACACTGACCGATGAAAGTAAGCATGCCAACAGTTTTCTTCACTACCCTGTCTACCTGTGACTCTACTTTCAAGGAGCTATGAACTTGTGCCCCTGGATCTCTTTGTTCTACAACATTACTCAGGGCAATACTATTGACTGTGAAAATCCTGCCCTTGCATTTATCTAAATTGAACCCTATCTGCCATTCATCAGCCCACTTGCCCAGCTGATCAAGATCTCGCTGTATTCCCAGATAACCTTCTTCGTTGTCCACCGTACCACCTACCTTGGTGTCATCTGCAAATTTACTAACCGTAAATTCTCATCTAAATATTTAAGTGAATAATGACTAACAGTGGACCCAGCACTGATCCCTGTGGCACACCGCTGGTCACAAGACTCCAGTTTGAAAAACAATGATCTACAACCACCCTCTGTCATCTACCCTCAAGCCAATTTTGTATCCAATTGGCTAGCTGTCCCTGGATCCTGTGAGAATTAACCTTACTCAACAACCCACCATGCGGTAGGTACCTTGTAAAAGACCTTGCTTAAGTCCATGTAGACAACGTCCACTAAACCACCCACATCTACTTTCTTGGCCACCCCTTGAAACAACTGAACCAAATTCATGAGACATGATTTCCCATGCATAAAGCCATGCTGACTATCCCAAATGTGTCTTTGCCTCTCCAAATGTCTGTAGATCCTGTCTCTCAGAATCCCCTCTAACAACTTACCCACCACAGATGTTAAGCTCAACGGTCTGTAAATCCCAGGCATTTCCCTGCAGCCTTTCTTAAATAATGGCACAACATTAGCCACCCTACAAACTTCAGGCACTTCACCCGTGGCTGTCGATAATACAAATATCTCTGCTAGGGACCCCACAATTTCCTCCCAACCCTCCCACAAAGTCCTGGGATAACACTTCATCAGGTCCTGGGGAACTTAGTGTAGGGAAATTAAGAATGGGCAAACAATTTTGGATACAACTCCAACAGTTTTTTATTTTATTCATTGGTGGGACGTGGGCCTCATTGGCCTCATTTATTGCCCGTGCCTAGTTGCCCTTGAGAAGGTGTTGGTGAGCTGCCCTCTTGAATTACTCCATGAAGAAATAGGTTTATTTTCAGAGCATCATGATGCAGTGTAAATAAGGTTAAACAATTGCTGAGCTGCAATTACAATAAACAGTGATCTTAAAAAGTAGGAAACCCTCAAGTCCACTTGGTCAACAAGTGACCATATTGTAGTTATTGCCACAACCAAGCTTCTGACTAAAAGTGCAAAATGTGATCATTACAAATAGCAGCCACTATTATAGCCTCTGGGGTAAGTCAACAGCAACAGTAGACTGACTCTGTGGAACATATGTAGGTATCGATTCAGAGATAGTAGGAACTGCCGATGCTGGAGAAACTGAGATAACAAGGTGTAGAGCTGGATGAACACAGCAGGCCAAGCAGCATCAGAGGAGCAGAGAAATGGGTCTGAAGAAAGGTCCAGACCCGAAACATCAGCTTTCCTGCTTCTCTGATGCTGCTTGACCTGCTCTGTTCATCCAGCTCTACACCTTGTTATGTTATATGTAGGTATCGTTATCTTTTGGGACAGCTAATGTTCCAGGTTTCAGAGCCTGAGCAGCAGCTGGCAGTGCTGTGGAACATCCATGAGGTTGAGAGTTTTGTGATTATAATGTTATTGAATGTGATCACCCCACAGCTTGAGGGTGTGCAGACATAAAAGGAATGAGTAACTGCTGAGCAGTCAAAGGGGACCAGACAATATTCTAAGTGTGATCTAATTATTTCTGTGTATGGTTTTAGAAAGACTTTCCTATTTTTATACTCCATTTCCCTTGAAATAAAGGTCACCATTCTATCCTCTGTCTATCTTCTATCCTCACCTCTGTCCCCGACTCTCTTGAAGTTCTGAAATGCTGCTGGTGTCTTCCACTGTGAAGCCTAATGCGAAGTACTTATCCAGTTCCTCCACCGTTTCCTTTTTCCCCACTTTGGCTTATCCTTGGCTGATTGCAGCACATACAACTACAGTGACAGATTATGCATGGACATAAAAGCTTCTCCGGCTCTCCCTTCACCTGTACCCATCTTGAGAATTCTGATTAATATACACCCACCCACTTAGACTTCAATTGTCCGTACCCAAAATTTACTTTAATATTTATCCTTCTCACTAGGATCACTTTGATTGCCTTAAAGTCATTTTCTCTGTGGATTATGTATCAATGCTTTCATCGTTTAAAAGATTTTTTTTACCCTTCAGACCATATTAACCATTTTGTCAAGTAGGTGGACAGATTTAAAATCCATTCTTCACTGTACTTTCACTATTTTAGTTCCTGCTGATGTAACAAAATCCTTCTGCATTTTTACATCAGTATCCCAACATCATACCATAGATTCTTGACTTCAAGGTGATCTAATCTCTGGGTCAAGAGTAGGGGGGAGATTGGACTTAGTCTCCTCCTATGGTTTCAATTTTATGGTAGTGGAACCATCCAACTCAATTGTCATTCATAATAAAGGGGTATGGGCAAGGGCACACACATTTTCAAACTAAAAACTGTTACTTGATTAGTTTCATGTACACTTCCCTGATTAGAATCCCAATGGGTTAATAATGTCCAATCTGTAAATTTATAAATATAAAATTTAGTAATGACCAAGACAAAATGTCTAGCATTGCAAAATGTGTGAGGTAAGATTTTAAATAAAAATGTAAATTGCTGGAAAACACAGCAAGTCTGGCAGCATCTATAAAGAGAAGTTAGGGTTAATGTTTTGGGTCCAACGACCCTTCTTCAAAAAGTTTCAGAACACACTTTGTTTTAGCAACAATTTCAGTCAAATTTAATGAATGCTCTCATTTTAACAGTCCTAGAAGCTCTCTGTGAATAAACTAATTTTCACTGGCAGCCTCTTTAGCTTCTCTGGGAGACAGAACCTTGTGCAGGGTTGTGACCTCTAATGGTACTTTGGAGGGCCCTTCGCCCATCTGTTCTGCCTTCTTCCTTTCGCTGATCCAGATACATTTGCATGCTGGCTTCACCTCACTTCCGTGGAAAGGTGAGGCAGAGGGATAAGCATTTTGACAATGACACAGCACTGGCTAGAATCACTGGAGGAACTACATTTTCCCATTCTGTCTCAGGGAGTTCAAGGTCATCTGTTGTGTTTTGTTGGGATTGTCATGGAGTTTGGAGTGGCGTCATGGGTAATGATGGCAGAGGAGCCAGTGTCAATTAACATTAGTTGTTGATGGTTTCCACTGTCGATGGTATGGACTATTTGTCTCCCACAACCATTTTATCGCTGAGGGGGCAGCATTGCTCCCTGGGAGCTCAGTGGAAGTCATAATGGGCTGAGATAACACAGTGTAGAGCTGGAGGAACACAGCAGGCCAGGCAGCATTAGAGGAACAGGAAAGCTGATGTTTTGGGTCGGGACCCTTCTTCATAAATGGGGGATGGGGAAGGGAGCTGAGAAATAAATAGAGAGAGGAGGGGTGGGGCTGGGGAAGGTAGGTGGAATGGTGATAGGTGGGTGCAGGTAGGGAGTGGTGGGGATTGGTCAGTGAAGTGGGAAGAGCGGATAGGTGGGAGAGAAGATGGACAGGTTGTGTCAGGTCAAGGAGGTGGGGATGAGAGGGAGGATTAGTCATGGGATGAGGCTGGGGGTGGGGAGATTTTGAAACTGGTAAAGTCCACATTTAGACCATTGGGTTGTAGGGTCCCAAGGCAGAATATGAGGTGCGGTTCCTCAGTTTCCAGGTGGCGTCATTGTGACACTGGAGGAGGCCCAGGATGGACATGTCGTCCAGGGAGTGAGAGGGGGAGTTGAAATGGTTCGTGACTGGGAAGTGTTGTCATTTGTCGCAAACAGAGCGCAGGTGTTCTATAAAGCAGTCTCTGAGCCTCCACTTGGTCTCACCGATGTAAATAGAAGAGGCCACATCCGGAGCAGCGGATGCAGTAGACCACATTATCGGATGTACAGGTGAACTTCTGTCTGATGTGGAAGGTTTTTTTGGTTCCTTGGATGGAGGTGAGGGAGGAGGTGTAGGGGCAGATGTAGCACTTCCTGCGGTTGCAGGGAAAGGTGCTGGGGGTGGTGGGGCTAGTGGGGAGTGTGGAGCAGACGAGGGATCCGTGGAGAGAGCAGTCCCTACGGAAGGCAGATGGGGTGGGAAGGGAAATATATCCTTGGTTATGGGGTCAGATTGCAGATGACGGAAGTGTCAGAGAATGATATGTTGAATCTGGAGGTTAGCGGGGTGATACGTGAGGCCAAGGGGGATTCTGTCTTTGTTTTTGTTGCAGGGAGGGGCTGTGAGGGCAGAGGTGCGGGTAACGCAAGAGATGTGGTCGAGGGCGTTTTCGACCACTGAAGTGGGGACGAGGGAAGTTGCGGTCCTATCTTACTATCTCATAATGGACTCTGTCTTGTTAGCCTGGGATTTTGCGTCACCAATACCTGCTGCGTCCCTCAACAACATTATCCGAATAAAGGCTGAAATCATAATGGAAACAGTTCTCATTTACTGTCCCAGCATGTATCACACTCACTTATTCAATTACTAGAGATTGCAGCTATCACTGCTCATTATTGCCAAATTGCATCTGGATGCATTTCATTTTGGTTATGCAAATGTTGTTATTTGCTTCAGGCACAGCAATACTGTTAACAAAGTAACATTCTCAAAGTATCCAGCATCTTTAGTTATTCCCGTAATTTGACATTATTCGCTTGTAATTTAGTCTTTTTTTCCAGCATTTTCTCTATCTGTTTCTTTTCAAATAATATGCTTTATCACATGCTTCTATCTCCTGTTGTAAGTAAATGTGTAAGTTGTCAGTTTCCTTCCGTAACTTTTTAATTTGTTCCCTCGACCCTTGTGTTTTCTTATTCAACTGGAAGGCACACATGTGATGCCTTAGGATAGATTATTCTGCACCGATTTTAACTTTATATTTGCCCTCTGAACCTCCTTTAGAGACTCAAAGATAGAG